TCCAATTTGATTTTATTTCTATAGGCAATACTGAAAACCATTTTTGGGCTGCGCCGTCTAAGGTTGTCTGTATCAACGCTGTGCGTCGATGTATCCAATTTTGATGTAGTGGCGTATTAATTGGTTCAGGTCCTATATTTAAAATTAAATTTGCTGTTACTGCATTTAAATAATCTTCTAAAGAATATTCAGGGTCTGTTCCTGTGAATGCCATTAATGGTTTGTTTGATGTTATTGATGATCCACCCATAAGGTATGGATTCATTGTCATTTGTAATGATTCTGCGGCATTTGGCATTTGTGAAAAATTTGAAAGTTGATTTTTTGTTATTTCGTGTTGTTGAAGGTAATATGGAAGTGGTATTTCATTTTGCATTTGTGTTGGTTGATACGAGTGTGTAATCATTGGGTTTTGTGGCTGAATTGGTTGAAAAGATTGTGTATTAATTGGGTTTTGCATTTGTATTGGTTGTTGATTTTGTGTATCTGTTGGGTGTGGAGAAAAACTTCTATGATATGTATACGGTTTCTGCACTCCTTGTCCACGATATTCTTGAGTGTATGGTGCAAATATATCTGGTTGTAAATAATCATCATCAGAGGATAAATAATCCGTTTGATGAGATGCTTGCTTTTTATTTTTATTCTGTTGAAAGAATGGGTAATTTTCACTACGATCCTGTGGAGGATGTGAATTAGTTTGAAAATTTACTGAATTGGTTGTTGCCATTGGGTTATCCCAATATCGAGATCTTATCTGATTATTATTTTTTTTTCGTGGGGGATAGTTTGTTTTTGATGAATGTGCGTAATTATAACTGTGTTCCGCAAAAGTGTTTCTTGTGAACGTTCTGCGTGTTTTTGACGGTATTGTCATGCGTCTATATGTTTGATAATCCATTTGTGAATATTTTGGGGCAACCGAAGGTTTAACGGTTGACTGTAAGGTTACTTGTGCTAGTGAAGTATTTGTATTTCTTGTTGTTGTTAAATTTGGACGTATTGGTGAAATACTTTGTTGTGTAGTTGTTGTTTGGACAATTTCTTCATTTATGAAGTGTGATGGTATTTGAATATCTTGTTGAGTGAGGTTCCTAGTTCCATTAAGGTTTTCATTGTGTATGACGGTCGAATTTAAACTGTTATTTTGCGTATCGGGTAAAAATGTATTGTAGTTTAATGGTGTTGCATCAATGGATAATGGTATTACCCTTACATAATCTCTTACATAAGATATTGTACTTATTGCCTGACTTGAGATTGATTGTGGGATATTTATGAAAGCATAATGACACCATTCGGGGTCCCAAACGTAGTCTGATTGTTCTGTGATGACGGTATCATCGTTTGAATTTTGGGGTCTAAAATTTTTTCTTGCTTGTGAAATTAAATCTATATTATGTGTAAAATAATCTATTATAAACCATGCCAAAATTTTTTGTAAGTCATGTTTTGTATGTTGTGAAACATCATCTTTAGTGAAATTTTCTTTAATTATATGTAGAAAAGTGGAAAATAGTGTGATTTCATGTCGTACCTTTATATGTTTGGATGTCTCATTCGGTGAGATATGCGGGATTGGGTTTTCGTTTTCTAATATTGAAATATAACTATATATTATTGCAAAAACTTCATTAGTAAATATGGAGTTTGCTCTTTGTGAGTTATGATATTGTATGCTTTTTATATATTCTGAGAATACTTTTGAAAATTCTAAATCAAGATCGTCTGTTTGAATTACATATTTGCGGTGATTCGGGTTTGGTGAGCTGAATTCTATGGTGTAGATTCCATATTGTTGTGTTAAGTTACATATATCTTTCAGATAGTGATCAATAATCTGTCTTTTTATTTTTACATCTGGGAACTCTGTTTTACATGGGCTAATTCCGGGTTCAAACAAATTTAGGAGAAAGTTCTTACAAAGATCATGCTGTCCTCTATTATCGGGTGCATCTACTAAGAAGGGGTAGATATCGTCATCGTCTGGACTATCTTCACTTGGAGTGTGTGTTTGGCTCATTTTTTCGTTTAATGACTGTTAATAAGTAATTATCGATGTGTCTAATTGGTTGATTCCAGTTTTACAAGTGTACTGGTTTGTGTTTATATTGCTTTTTTATTCTTCTTTTTCCTCTTTTTGATGAATTTGAAGTTGTTTCTGAGTCGGAAAAATATAATTGATCGTGAATAGGGCAATTTTTATCAATGGATTCTTTTAATTTATAAAGTTCGTCTAAATTGCTGACTTCTGATTCTGAGAATGCGTTTCTATTTTTGGAAAATCTTTTTCGTGTTATTTGTCTTTGTTTAGTTATTATTTTCCTTTTTAGTGTTTGTCGTTTTGTTCTGATATATCCAACTGTTTGTGTGTGAGGTGTGATTACAAGGTCGTATTTTTTGTTATCTATTTCACAGTTGTGCAAAACGATTGTTTGTTTGTTTCCTAGATTTTTAAATGACATAAGGTTTAGGATGACGGATGCAAAAAGTTGTTAGATGATTTCTATTTTCTTAAATTGTCAGTCCTTACGATTTTTTTGTTAGCTTAACCTGGGTCTATTTGTTCAGGGTTGGAGAGAAAAGTATATCGATTCCGAAGAATGATTTTTTACTTTCTCGTGGCTAGTATAAGCTAAGGTGTTAACTTACTTAATCTTACTTAGGGGTAGTGATTGTGTTCAAGGGTTGGAGAATAGTAAATCGATCCACAAGGTTCAGGTATAATTAGAACGCGAGTAGTTCAATAGATACTATTTTAAACTTACTAAGTCTACGATTTATCCTGGGTCTGGTAAGAGGAGGGTTCAAGTGAAGGATGAATAACCGAAGTTCTTCACTGTTTATCCTAATTTGAATGATTAGTTTTGTTCAAAATTTTCTATTAGTCTTGGGTTTTTAGGATGGGTTGGATAGTGAATCGACGTTTGAGGTCGTTAGACACTAGCTAAGTGGGTGGGGGAGAACTAAATTGTTCTTTTTGATCCAAGGATAGGCCTTGATGATCAAGTTTTGTAAATTTAATTAAATAGAAAATTAATTAAGATCCAAGGATAAGCCTTGATGATCTGATTTTAAGATTAAGTGAATTTAAGTTTAAAATGGTTTAAATTTATTTAAGAAAAGATTTAGTGTTTTAATGATATTAGTGAGCTTATGATTGCTGTTATGTTTTAGGTGATGAAGCTGGGACAACTGATGATTTTATGATTACTAACAGTTTATTGTCATGCTACTAATTTTTATTTTGATTTTCAATAAATATTTTCCAAACATGTTTTTATAGAATACTGCAGAATTTTAGGAAAACGATCTGAGATCTTTTTATCAATCGTTATTGTATATTATTATTTTGTTTAGCGCCTGAAATGATCATGAAGATTGACTTCAAGATTTAAGTTTGCAAATGAAAATCTAAATTCATTGCTAATAAAATTCTAAATATAAAAGTTTGTGTTGGCTTTTGCCGTACTATCATATAACTATTTGGTAAGTTTCTACTTTGTCGTATGTTGTCTCTGGTTCGAGGTCTTCTTCCAATTCCGGGTAGTTCTCTTATCGTTCCGAATATTGGCTTTGATCTATTGAGTCGTAGAGACATTTCGATTAAATTATCGTCGTGTAACATTTTAAAAATGTTTTGTCTAAATTCTAATCTATTTTTGGTTAATTGTAAGCTATTAAGGTCTTGTTCGAGACTTATGGTCGCACCATATGAGTTATAACCGATGGTCTTAACTCATAGAGTAATTTCGGATAGGGTACACCGTCTGCTCGTCACGCTATCTTATTTTCGGCCGGATAGATTCGTGCAACTTCTTAGTCTAATACCGATCCTAATCTTATTCTTATACTATTCTAGTCTCAGGTTGTTTAACTAGTCTCTGCTAGGCTCAATAGATCTAGGGTATACTGGTTTATTGCGGCTGCTGAAGTTCTCTTGGAGAGGCAACTAATTTCTAAGTTGAATTCAAATCTCTCTGGTGCTGAAATTACAAGTAATTTCAGCACTTACAAATAAGTGGGTTGTTAGTTAGATGGATCATGATTGGTTAATATTAAATACTTTACAGTGGTAAAATATCTAATTTATCCAATCATAAAATGTAGTTTAGATCAGGTTCCAAATTATTCATAAATATCTATCTTTCATTTTGTAGAAATTTCAATTTAATTCTATGCAAGATTTTTATTCTAATTCAAACTCAAAAGCGATTAGGAGATCAGAACTTAGAGACTAGGTCCGCAACAATTGGAAACGAGTATCGTTTATGCAAATAATGCAACTCATTTAGGTCAGATTTTAAGAGAAAACAACAAAATAAATAGGTCAGAACGAACAAATTATCAAGTCACAACCAACAATAGCTAATCCCAAATAATGAGCTGCTTAATCAATAGTTTGATGTGTTTCCCAAATAAAGATTCTCGAAACAGGGTCACATCCGCAATATCAATTAAAAATTAATTTAAGATTTGTTCGTGGGTTCCGCTGAAAAGGGTTAAGTACATCTTTTAAGTTCCGCATTTGCAAGATAGTAGCTATTAATGCGCAAGAACTGGTTTAGTTCTGTTTGATTAATTAAAGAGCAAAATCTGCTCGCAATTTGTTTCTTGGAACAAAAATCACCATTAACCATATAAAAGTCTTCACTACGTTCATCGACTTTAAAAAAGCAATTTTGTATGCGGGTTTGTTACCATGATTGTCTAAAATTTTTGAACAATGGAGGATCCCCCGCTGTAGTATCTACTGAAGAATCTCCAACCCTATATATAAGTAAACTAAATTAGCACTAGACTTTTCTGTTGATAATTCTAGTTTTTCTGCACTCTGATTGGTCAAAAAATCATTTACTTAAATCAGTTTAGCAATCCTCTTCCCTTTCTCGAAAGGGAGATTGTTAAGTAGATTCCAATCAAGACAACTAGTTTGCATATAGAATAGCAAAATATAGTGAACAAAATGCGTCACTTAAAAGGACATTTTTTTTACTCACGGGAAGATTGGGTTGTCGTATTCCGCTTTTTGGGTTTCCTGGGCCTTGGTGTAACCACTTGAACAAAAAACCGAGTCAAAAAATGCCACGACTGCGACAACAAGCAGGGCTACCACTGCCACAGACTCAATGACGATGACGAGCAGGAGAAACCAATTTTTATCCTCGTTTGAAGTTTCTGCGAAATAGAACAACATCTGTAAAACTTCATCTATTCACATATTGTCATACCGCTACTGCAGTAGCAGTATTTGTCTATGTATTTACAACCAACCTATGGTGCTTACTTATTACTTTTATGGTATGCTCAAGGTCATAGTGAGTGATGACATTGAGACTAAGTGAGAGATCAGAGTTCGTAACACTGATCTAGCTCTCAGTAACAAAATAAAACAAAAGAAAAAGAAAACCTTAAATTCAATATTCCAAATACAGTATTGAATTACAACTTGTTTTCAACAGATATCGCAACGCATATCACATGGCGCAGCCAGCAGGACTCGCAGCTCAAGATAACAGAACGGATATGGGAATTCCGGTATTTTGGGCGTCGGCGAATCTAGACCCTCCGTGGCAATTAAAAATCTGGTTCGAACAATTTCTCATGGCGGTTACGGTCAAAGAAAATGTGAACCCAGAGATTATTTTGGAAGAACCAAAAGACATATTAGAGGAACCACCACCACGCCCAGAAACACCCAGAGACGGAGAGAATGAAGATGCGAGGAACGCTAGGATTCTTAGAGATAAGCTAGCAATAGATAGAGTAGTATTGGAGAACGATAAGAGAAAGACAAGAGGCCCACGAGTCGGACACAATGTCTTCTACAACGAAGTACAAAAGAAATTGGTGTCCAGATTATTTTTGTCTTTGGGTACAGAGGGAAAGAAGAGATTCCTACAAAGGAACCCGCATGCTGAAGTATCGAAAATGACGTTCAGGAAAATTACAAACTTGGCAGAATTCTCGTTTCAAAAGGTAAATTGTGTAACATACGAAAGATACAAGCTATTTACGAGAATGCAAGAATCTGGAGAATCTCTGGAATCATTTCACGCAGCGTTAACTGCACAAGCAGCCCGATCAGAACTGGGAGCATTGGAAAATGAAATAGTCCGCGACCTGTTTATTTCAAAAATGAAAAACATGACATTGCAGGACACGCTGACATTCGAGACTCTAGACCCGGAAAAGGTTCTGAAAAGGGCTATAAAATTCGAACACAGCAAGTTAACCACAATGGCGTTTCAAAAGACTAATGCTGCGGTTACAGGGGGATCAAGTAACAATTACACCTCGGGTGTGAGAATAAAACAAGAACCTGTAATGGCAGTTCGAAATTTGTCGGGGACAACCAAGACTCCAAACAGAAGGGAATCGAATAAAAGACAAAACAATAACAAGAATCAAAACTCGAAAACAAAACCATGTAATAGATGTGGAAGGACGTTTGACCAGGGACACCTGAAAAATTGTCCAGCGATGGGGAAAACCTGTAAACACTGTGGTAAACCCAATCATTTCGCTAAAATGTGCAGATCCCAACAAGTAAGCGAAATTGCGGAAGACTCGGAAGGATCGGTAGAGGAATGCGATCAGATAAGTGAAAGTGTTGGGTCATGTAGTGAATTTGAAGATATGTCGATACAAACCTATCAACCGGAAAACGAGAGAGTTCAAAATATGTGAAAGATCGAATCAATGAAATGAGGAACAATTCAAACGAAAAAATGATACGAGTTCAGAAAATAGATTCGATTCGCGATCCAACATCGAAACGAGTAAAATCACTAAAAGCCATAGTACGAATAGATAACCAAATAATTCAATTAACAGTGGACACAGGAAGTCCAGTTTCATTTCTCAACTGGGCGACAACGAAGGAAATTATGGAAAAATCAAACAAAGTAAGATTCATTCCGTCAGATAAACTAAATTTACAAAACAAATTCGTGGACTACAACAAACAACCGATCAGTATACTGGGAGCCCTAAAGACCAATCTGAGGTCAGCGGGCTGGGAGGTAAAGGGCGCCACCTTTCTGGTATCAACACGAAAGACCAGATGTATCATGGGACTAGACTTGCAAGGACAAGTGGGAATAGTTACTACACAAAAACCAGCGCTTAAGGAACTCACCAGGTTTGACGTGCTCATGTGCAAGCAGTCAGAAGGTTGGAAAGAAAAACTTTTCACTCAATTTAAAAACTTATTTGAAAGACAAGGCATTTCGAAAAATCACATTGTAAGTTCAAAATTTAAATATCCATTATGTCCGATTCAAGAAAAGGGGAGCAGAATCCCAATTCACATACAAGATAAAGTCGAAAAAGAAAACGAGAAGTTGTTGACAGACGGTCATATAACAAAACTTGATAAATGTACAAGTGATTGCTTTATCACTCCGATTGTGATAACAGTAAAGAAAGACGATTCAATAAAATTGGCAATGGACGCAAAACCAATCAGTAGACAATTGTTCAAAAACAAATACCAAATGCCGAATGTAGATGAACTCATTGATGGGGTAAGCCAGATTGTGACTGAAAACAAAAAATGTACGCTATATTTTTCGGTGTTAGATTTGAAATATGCGTACAGTCAATTAAAAATGGCCGCTGATACAGCTAGACAATGCAACTTCAACATTGTTGGTGGGAAAGCAACTGGAACCTACCGTTTTCTGACAGGGTTCTATGGTTTAACAGATATGCCAGCTGAATTTCAAAAGGCCATGGATAGAACCATCAACCACGCTAAAAACACGTTCTGTTTTCTGGATGACATACTTATTGTGTCAAAGGGAAGCGAAATTGAACATGGAAATTTGGTAGAAACAGTATTTAAAAAATTGGATGCGGAAAATTTGGCATTGAAACTATCAAAATGCGAATTTTTCAAACAAGAAGTGAACTGGTTGGGTCATCACCTCTCAGAAGCAGGGGTTAGACCAAAAATCACTAAAACGGAAGCGGTAGTAAATTTGAACCCGCCGAAATTGCTTAAACAGCTAGGGTCATTCATGGGAAGTATAAATCGTTTAGCTAAATTTATACCTAACGCAGCAAGTCTGACTGAAAAAGTAAGACCACTTCTAAAAGAAGAGAATCAAAATAAAAAGTTAGAAAAACATGAAACTACCGGTAAAAAAATTTGAGTGGGGGATGAACACACGGTAGTATTTAATGCTATAAAAGAAGCTGTGGCAAATATAACAAAAGTACATTATTACGATGCGACCCGAGAAACACGAGTTAAATGTGATGCTAGTCATGATGGGCTAGGGGCTACTTTAGAACAACAAAATGATGAAGGCCTGTGGATCCCAATTTCATTCGCATCCCAATACCTAAATGCCCAAGAAAAAAAATATTCAACAAATGAATTGGAGTTACTGGCAATTGTTTGGGCAGTAGATAGATATAAACACTAGCTTTTGGGAAAACCATTTACCATTGCAACTGACCATAAAGCACTTACAACAGCATTGGATGGTAACAAATTGAACAAGACCTACCAATCACGTTTAACCCGGTGGGTTGACCGGTTACTGCCATATCAGTTCAAAATAGTTCACATTCCGGGGAGGGACATGGGCATAGTTGATTATTTATCGCGTGATCCTTTCAATGATCCCTGGCCTGAATCAGAATTAGACGAAAAGTTTGTAGTAGCGACAATAAACTCCTTTCATGAAGCGTTCGACTGCAGGAACAGTAGGCTTAAAGAAACTGGGTCGCTCAACCGGAACGAAAACGTTCTAGAATGTTCTAGAAGGAATGCAAAGAAACAGTCATCAAGTAATGGTTGCTATAGTAACCAAAACGGTCAAAAATGAACAAAGCTCGACCGGAACGAAAGAAAACAGTTTTCACGACTGCAAAAACAGCTAAACACAGCAGCTCAACATAAACAGATCACTTTTTCGTCAAATCAACCCAACAAACATTCAGTCTCAAATAATTCAAAAATCGTAACACAACCAGTACCAGAAATTCGAAAAAAAACAGACTCAAGGATCGAGATGTCAGGAAACAGATCATACGACTGGTGGTCGGGCTCACCACAAGAATGGCGAAACGAAGAACGCGAAGAGAGTCTAATGGACCCAAAGTGGAACCGCTCACTATCCAACACAAACGAACTTTCGGAAGAGGAGGAGATCACAGAGACAGTCCAGCGTACAAGAAAAATCATTAGAGGTGACCGGAAAAACAGATATAGCTCCGACAGTGAAACACGACATGCATCACGGGTAAAATGGCAGCTTGAACCGGATCAACAAAGAGAAGCAGATCAAAGAATACTCTCATTCTGGCATCTAATAGGCGGAGAAGACAATATACGGGAAAAAGAGAACTGGTGGCACACACCCAAGAAGTCAGGGACGGCTCGGACATGAATCGAGTTAAGCATTGACTAAACCAATCGCATCGGCGGAACGGAAACTAAGTGAGGTGCAGGTAATAGAGATGGACCTGACGACTACAGAAGAGGCGGAGAGTGAAGAGGAAGTGTGCTCAATAGAACCGCCGAAGGGACTGGGAAAAACAAAACTGCCAAAGCAGCAACAAGAAGAGACCCTGGACAATTTAGCAAAACTGTTCGACAAAAGTCTACTAGCAGAATTGACCACCGAAGACACGTGGATGGACCGCCTCAGACGAGTGATAGAAAGAGGGGACAAACAAGGCTTTGAATTAATGGGACCTTATACAAACCCGTTGTGGTCACAGATGGCAGTTCAGGACGACTGCATCTTGGTGAATAACCGGCTAGCAGTCCCCGTACAACTAAGACAAGCTGTCCTAAAAAGAATACATCGAGGGCATCCAGGCCATGAGGCTATGCTGGGAGCAGCGCAATACCTGTGGTGGCCACACATGAATAAGGACATTGTGAATCTGGCAGAGGAGTGCCGTAGCTGTACCAGATATGGTAAGAATGTAAAATATCTTATTTTGAAAAATGCGTCAAAACCACTGCCACTGCTCACGCAGCCGGGACAGGAAGTACAATTAGATTACGCGGGGCCCATAGAAAATCAAAAAGGAAAAAAATCTACCTTTTAGTAGCGATAGATCGATTCTCAAAATTTCCATCAGTGAAGGTTACGAAATCTACAAGTGGGAAGTGCACAGTAAAATTCTTGAGATCATATATCGACAAGCATGGAGTTCCTGAATCAATTCGTTCGGACCAATTTTCAGGTTTTAAGGGGAAAACGTTAAAAAATTTCTGTTCGGAACTCAATATCGAGCAAAACTTTTGTCCGGTGGGGGACCACAGAGGCTGTGGTTTGGTCGAACGTACAATCCAAACTATAAAAAGAAGACTGGGGGTGATGATGCTCGAAGAAAAAAATAAATCAATCAAATTATGTCTCAGTATTATAATGAGGGATTTACGGTGGAACAAGCAGAAAACCATTCAAGTATCCCCGTTTCAAGCACATTTTGGCAGACTACCAAAAACAGAATTTAAAATTGTGAGGGATAGGTTTTTAAATGATTCTGACTATTTAGACAAACAACACTTGGAACGCTCAGCACTGACGGCTTCTCAATTGAAACGTAGAATTGACCAGTCGAGAGAACCTCAAAATAGTACGCAAGGGACAACTCAGCAGAGATATACAAGCCCACTGCACAAGCAGCAGCTAACATCGGACAGAGATAAAGAAAGGGCCAACGCTCTAAAAGAGTTGTTGGAGGCGAACTGCGACGGCAGTCAACCGGGAACAGGAGCAATCGACATCAAGGCCGGAAAAAGTAGACACCAAAAATCAGTCAAGTTCTACACCGAAACCAAAACAGCGGTCGAAATTGAAATGTATTGACTCCCACACTCCCCTAGAGGACATAGTCGACACATTCCACGATCGCAATTTAGCACCGTCCGAGTGGGGGAAGTATGCAGACCAATTGCTAAAACGAGGAGTACAGCGAGTTGCAGACAAAATCCGAGGAAATCCCCAACAAATTTCGGGAAAAGATACAACTTTCGAACCACCACAAGAATTTTCGGACGAGTCGAGTACTGAAGAGTCGTGTATCAGACGAAGCTCCAGGCAAACGAAAAACAAGGAACCGAAACGCTTTGGAGACCCGATAAAGCATTCAATTAAAGAGATATCAGAAAATCTCACAGGGGGAGGACTTCTGAAGGAAGCACTTAAGGAATACAGAAATCAACTGAGAGACTTCAAGGATCGAAGCGATATACCAATGGAATCAAAAGTAAGACGACTCGAAAGACACCTCTTCATGCGAAAATTTGGGTATGCTACACTAGACGAAGGGGTTGAATGGAACCCGAGTTGGGAAATAGAGTTGGAAGAAAACTGAGAATTCTATAAACTAAACCGTCAATTAACCCAGAGACTTTCCTATGAACTGAGTATATTGAACTCTTTTTTAAAAAATTATCCTACTTATGTTGTATAATTTATTTCTTCCACCGAGGGGGTGTGTCATACCGCTACTGCAGTAGCAGTATTTGTCTATGTATGTACAACCAACCTATGGTGCTTACTTATTACTTTTATGGTATGCTCAAGGTCATAGTGAGTGATGACATTGAGGCTAAGTGAGAGATCAGAGTTCGTAACACTGATCTAGCTCTCAGTAACAAAATAAAACAAAAGAAAAAGAAAACCTAAATTCAATATTCCTAATACAGTGTTGAATTACAACTTGTTTTCAACCGATATCGCAACGCATATCACACATATATTTAATTTTGTTTTTGCAAAATGCTGAGTGCTGACGTTAAAAGATGTACCACCAGTAGCGGTGTAGGAGAGTGGAACTACTCGACCCCCTCAGATAATCGATGCCCAGCCCGTGCAAAGGTCCCCCTTTGGTTCTATTTTACCCCCGTCCATTTTTTTAAAGGCGCCTTCAAAAGTTTGCATATTCAAAAACGTATCAAAAAAATTTAAATCATTGCCTGAATGTAACATACTCATGGAAAAAGACAATGATTTTTTTATTTGTCCTGACAAGAATATGATAGAGCTTGTTCTCCCTTTGTGGAAACCAAAACAAAAACTAGAGGCCCAGCTAAAGCTGGAAATACTTGTTTGAAAGCTTTTGAATTTGTTCTAATGATGCTAGATGAAATGAGTAATTTCAAAAACTTATTGTTGCTCTAATAAAATATGAAAATATGAGTGAAAATTTTTGTGATTTTGGAATTTTCTGCGAGACTAGTTTTTTTTTACAAAATTTAAGACGAAGCATCATATGCACGGAGGCTTCCCACAACCTGTTGCCTCTATTAAACCCTTGATATCACATTCAGCTGTTTCCGAGAAAAGTAAAAAATTTCAAAAAACGATCCAAAGTCTAAAATTTGACTTTTCCAAGGGTGATAACTTTTTAAATTTTTGGCGTAACCGCTTATGCATGGGAGCTTTGCAGAAACCGTTCTAACCATTTAAACCAAAATCTCAGATATGGAAGGCTCGTTTTCGAGAAAAGCCAAAAACTTTCAAAAAACGGTCAAAAACTCGAAACTTTGATTTCTTGGAGGGTCATAACTTTTTGTAGAAAAATTGAGCGTAATCGCTGATGCAAGGAAGCTTCCTATAACCCGTTCTACCTATTGAAAATAAAATATCAAATTATCAAAGGCTAGTTTTTAAGAAAATGTAGAAAGTGAGGTAAGGTCAAAAGAGACTAGGGGGTTATGCAGGGTTATTTGAGAAAAACTTGAGAAAAACTAACTTTTCGAAAAAAGTGAAAAAAAATTCCAATTCGTCTCAAAAAAGCGTCAGAAAAATTTTAAAAAAACCCGATCCCATACATTTTCATAAAACCTGTTTTCATGAAACAGGAACAAGAAGATTTTTCTGTAAATTCCAAAACAAGCTTTTTTCTGATGATCTTTTGAAAAAAAAGATCATGTAAATTAGTGACGGAAACAATTTGTAATAATTGTGCTAAAATCAAAATGCTTATTTACCCGGAACATATATGATGAAGTGAGTCGGAGGCCCTTTCTTACTTCCACATAGGGCAGATATGGACAGTTGGTAAGTACAACCTGTTACCACGTTCTCAATATTATGTCTCACAGTAAGGTTGGTGAAGTTTCCCTCCCTCTCACTGCACAGATTGTCATCACTAGTTAGGGAATAGTACATAGAGGAGAAGGATCCGTGCAGGACACCACTGATTCCAGAAAAGAATACGGCTCCAGAGTCAAAACCATATCGAGTTACCGAACTGTTGATGTAATCTGGAACTGAAACAAATACTAATTATAGCAAAAGTTTACATGTGAGTTAGGACCGATTTGGTTAACTCATAGAGTAATTTCGGATAGGGTACACCGTCTGCTCGTCACGCTATCTTATTTTCGGCCGGATAGATTCGTGCAACTTCTTAGTCTAATACCGATCCTAATCTTACTCTTATACTATCTAGTCTCAGGTTGTTTAACTAGTCTCTGCTAGGCTCAATAGATCTAGGGTATACTGGTTTATTGCGGCTGCTGAAGTGCTCGGGAGAGTCCAACTAATTTCTAAGTTAAATTCAAATCTCTCTGGTGCTGAAATTACAAGTAACTTCAGCACTTACAAATAAGTGGGTTGTTAGTTAGATGGATCGTGATTGGTTAATATTAAATACTTTACATTGGTAAAACATTTAATTTATCCAATCATAAAATATAGTTTAGATCAGGTTCCACCCATCCGGGTTTTACAGAGTTTTTTAGAACAGTTCTTCTGTAATTTAAGGATGGATGATGGACGTTGGTATTTGGTGAACATCATAATTTTCTTCCGCTTCTTCTTTGTTAAAGAAGTTTCAGGAAGCTGGAGTTAGGGACATAAGACGTTGTGTTCTTCTTGTGACAACGACTGAGTCTCTGCAACAAAATCAATTCTGATTTCAGAATGGTTGGCTATGTCAGGTTTTTCTGTTCTTCGGGGAGAACTTCTTTTGTGTCTGATCTAGCTTGGGAATGGCGTGGAGATTGTGCGTGGAGGGGATGCCTGGTTACTCGGATCTGTACGTACACTTGGGTCATCGAGGTGGTCATTGGTCTAGTTCAATGAAGTCCTTTTCTGCGAGGTCAAGTCGTACTCTAAATCCTTTGAGTTGTGATTGTGAGCGGCATATTGATTGTGGTTGGCCATTCTCTCTCGAGTGTAGTGGGGTCGTTTTGTCTTTAGATGTTCGTCCTTGGTGTTGTATTCTGATCTATGTATTGCATAATGTAATTTACATTTTATAAAACATTTATTAGTTTAATATTTTTTAATTATGATTTTAGTTAGTTGTTTTCACAAAAGCTTTTTGTTTTAGTTCGGTTATTTTGAAGAGTTACTCACACTTGAGTAGCTCTTATTAAAAATAGAGGTGTGGTCACAAAGCGTGGATGTAGCGCGGTGGGTTAGGCCGGCTATAGAGCATGCTCAGGACGTCCTTCCTGGTGGGTTAGGCCAGGGGTGGAAGTATGATTTCATGCGGTTTTTGTGAGGGGTCCTGTTATGTGACAACGTTTTATGTTGGGTTTGTTTTGGTTTTTCTTATGTCTTGTTGGTTATGTCCTTTTTCCAAAAATCAAATTGTTTGTGGTATGGGTTTGTCTTTCGACTTTTTTGTGTTTTATTATTTCTTTCTTAGACTTTATAATAGTCTTCAAAAGAATAAATTATCCAGTTTTAAACTGGGTTAATCCGGTTTGGGTACCGTTGGTTTCCTTTTCTTAGTCATGCTGTTATTCTATGATTTGTGGTATTTAGTAAGCTGCGTTGGTTAGTTTTGTTTAGTATATGATTCCTTTCCAACCGGGTTAAAGGAAAGTTTGAAACATGTTATTATATGTTAGAGTTGTTGAGTGTGAAAACTTGAAACTGAAATTCATTATTTTAAACAATTCTTCGTGGGCGAGCTGTGCGAGTGTGGATAGAATTTCTGTGCGAATGAATGAAAATATCAAAAGGTTAGTACTGCAATTGCATTTTATTAATTTACTGCATAGAATTTGGAAATTTACTGCTAGTTATGGGGGAATTTTAAGATACAAATTTTCATTATAATTAGATTTACTGCTTGTGGGGAAAATTTTAGAAATGAATTAACTGCATTGGTATTAAATTTATAAATTTATAAGTGTAAGAGATTAATAGAATTTTTGAAATCTGTTTGATGAAATTTGCGATTTTTATTTGTCTTTTGTGGTTTTTGTAGGTGATCGTCGGATGAAGGCTAAAAATCTAAAGAAAACATGAATAAAGTATGGTGAGTTTTTAATATTTCAATTAGTTAGTTAAGTTCATTTAATTCATACTTACCTGTTAGTCGTCGGGGAAAAAACCGTGGGGGAAGATGTCGTGAATTAGTTCTGAAGTTGTTAGTAGTTTAGCTAAGATGCGGATGATATTTTTAGTCTGAAGCAGTGGCCAAAGCAATTGAAGTGCCTTAATAGTGGTTAGTTCTTCAGTGCCAACTGCAAACTCATAAGGTGTGTTTTGGATTAGATTATATAATTTGTGATTGAATTTAGTGTTGTGGATGAATTCTAAAATTGGGATTTCTATAGGTTGTACAAACTCGTGCGGGATAAGGAAGGGTCGGGATTCTTCGGCGTTGAAGGTCTTGGTGATGGGACAGAAGATGTACATTTGGGTTATGGGGTCATAATTGCGAAGAATACCATGAAGGTTAGTATCTTTAATGCAATATGTGAAATTTAGGAAAAATGGTGAAGTGTATTTGGAATTAATGAATTGAAAACGATGGTGTGGTTGTCTAGAGGGTGTGTGTAGGTCAAAGTGATTTTGGATGAAGCGATAATAACTATATGTGTGAGTTTGTTTAGTGCGCAACATAATATCGTGTGAGCAGTGTAAGTCTCTTTCGTGTGGTGCAAGGAAATGAAAGGTTAGTGAAAATATTTGGAAGCGTTCTTTAAAACTTTCGTATGCTTGTGTGTCTGTTAGTGCTTCTGAAATAATGTGATCAAACTTTCGGTCGAAGATGTTTAGTGTGAATATATATGGTGTCTTGATGAAAAATTTCTCGGTAATTTGTGGATTAGCGAAGCGATCGTCGTCTAAGAATTGATCTTGGTTAGCTCTGATGATGTTGTGATCATAGTATTCGAGTGTATATTCGTTAGCTCTAGGTGCAGTGTGTGTTTTTAGTGATTTTTTATATCCAACGTAAGTAAATTGTCTAGCGGTTAGTGGTGTAGTGAGTCGATATAGCATGTCCGTATTTCGCTCTATATCGATGTGAGTGTTAGATAAAGGTAAGCAAAGAGGGTTAGTAAAATGATAATATGAGGTCCAAGAGAGAGTGGGCATTAAAACGTATTCATCGACAAAGTTGCGTGTTTCGTTAGTGTCGTGGGGGGTGTTTAAGGTGTATTGTGGGAATGAGGGTAAGGTGATGGCTAAAAATTCTTTTGTGTTAGTATGCTTGGGGTGGTTGATGTATTCACGGGCTGTTCCTGGTTTTGCTGGGAAAGGATGGTTGGGGAACTTTCTTTTAAAAGTGCGGTAAGCTCTATTAGTGTTGAGTGAGGATTCAGTTGATGTGGATGATGGTGCTAATGATTCAGTATAATTTGAAGAGGGTGTAGGGGTAGGGGGGTTGGATGAATTTATTGTGGAGGAGATTTGGTTTATGGTTGGGGTATTAAGGTGGTAGGGTTGTTGTTGAAGGGTAATAAAATTATCTAGCTCTGGGGAGATTCGGGGGGTGTCTGGAGAATGAGATGATTGGTCAGAATGGTATGAGGAGTAGGTTGGGGTAACTTGGGAAGCATAAGAGGGTGTGGGAGTGATTGGGTCAGGGTTATTGGATAATATGGGTTGAAAAGGGGGTTGAGAAAAATTAGAAGAGTTATGAAAATTATTGGATGGGGATGGTTCTGAGTCGGCAAATTCATCGGGGGTTTCAATATTCGGGTTATTGAGTTGTGAGATGGAATATAAAACTGAGATGTGTGAATTAGTATCGGAATTCATGCTTGATGTTACATTACTAGGTGGAAAATCGGGTGGCGGAAAAGCAAAAAGTGGTATTATTGGGATTGGAGAGGTAAGATTGGTTGGGTGGGAATTTGATCGGTGTAGTGATCCAAGTTGGCGGCTCATCGTGGGCTAAAAAAATGATTATTTTGAGACTGAAAAGCGGTGGTATGGGGTTGTTCAATAATTTGTTCATAAGTATTATCATCTTGTGACTGGTGTGTCATTATATGTTGGATGGGACTTTGTGATGTGGTGAGTCGAAAATTTGGATTATGTGTGATGGCTAAATTTCGAAAATTTCGTGGGACTAGGGATAGTGGATGGTTATTTGGTAAGGGTGGTAATTGTGGTGCCGTTGGCGTTATGTCTACATTGTTATGTTCTTCGTCGTATGTATTTTGTCGTGTTGCTATTTTTGTGTTATATTCTTTTATTTGTGCGTCTAAAAGAATTTTGTTTATAGATGTAGAAAAGATTCCAAAAAATCCTGCAAAGAGTATGCGTGCTACGCTTGCTTGTCTGTTTACTTGTGTGTGTATAGCACATGTGTTATAGATTCCTTTTAAAAGTGAGAAAAGAAATCCAATAAAGTTAAACATTGCGTATAAAATAGTCAATTTTTCTAAGATGTAGTAGGGCCATCCTAGAAAATCGAGGATCTCATTTTTGAGTGTAACAAAGCTAAAAATGTTAATTGGTGATATATCTTGGGGACGGTATTTTTCACCGTTTAGATATATATAATCTTTAATGTCTTTAAAATATCCGCTATAGTCTTGCGTGTAGATATCGGCAAATCCTGCGGTTTCTGAAAGTTTGCGTAAATTTTGGTCTATTGATTGTCTTTGTATAGTGTCCATTTGTGTTAATAATTCTTGGAATTGTTGTGTTCTAATGTGATGTTGAATATCTGATTTTGAATAGATTCCTATTGATTGTAAGTCTATATTTGGGTTTCGAGCAATAGCGCGAATGCTTTCTGGTGAAAATTTTTTGAGTGATTGCATTAATGTGGGATATGGAGTGAGAAGATAATATTTATTTTCATCAGGGTTTAGTTGTACTACATTGTGGCTATTTTCTGATCCACATGGGACTGCGGTATCCCAGAAATAGGTTCTTCGTGAAAGTGTATCCACGAAATGTACTTTATTCTTATAAAAGATAGGGATTCTTTTATAACATCGTTTATCTTCAAAAACGTATAGTGGTGATACTTTTTTAGTACAAGTATAAAACCATAAGATGTTTCCTT